ATATATTATAATAATTTTATCGGGGATCGTTCGTTTGTATCTAACATTGCCTTGTACTGTATCATATGAACGTAGTTTCAGTCAACTCAAATTAATTAAAACATATTTTTACCAGAAATATGGAATATATTACAATAATTTTACCATAGCAGGTAAATTGGCGGAAACGGGAATCGAACCTTTTTTTAAATTGGCGGAAACGGGCGATGGCGGAATCGGTCATTTCAAATTTTGGCGGAAACGGTACATGCCCGTTTAAATTAAATTAATAGTAGGTAAACTTATTTCCTATCGTGTAATTCAAATCTTAGGACTAAATATATAATTAGAAGTTGTTTGTTTTTAATTAAATAGGTATATTTAATTTTGTTTTTTGAAATTTTGGAAGTTGATTTTAACATTGGTATTTTTATTAAATTACTTTTTGAAGAACAATAATAATTATTAATGATGTTAAGAAAAGTATTGATTTTAATTGTGCGAAACTTTCATCACTTAAAAGTCTCTAAGTTATTTTAAAGAGATAAAAATTACAAATATTGGGTATTTAAACGTAGTCATTTGTTAATAATCTTTTATTTTAATTGCATTTCATTGCAATAATTTATATTATTATATTATACATTTAATTTTATATTACCTATTTAGTCGAACTATACCTATACAGTGGGATGACAATCATATTTATTTGAAACCCATTTTAATTTATAAGTACTAAATCCGAAATAAACAAAAAACACAATTYTGAGAAAATAAACGATAGAAGGTTAGAACCAATCATATTTAAATAATGTAATACCTACCTGTCTACCGGCCAACGTATAGGTCCTGAATAATAATAATATACTCAAAATAAATAATATTTTCATCTCTCTCAACCTACTTTTTTTTAATAGTTACTATCCGGCTTTTTACACAATGTCTCATTGTTTCACAAGATACAGTTGACTTCTACATATCTAACCAGCTCCCTTAAATCATATATTATAATGTAACATTATACGTTTGTCAGTTCAGCCGTTGCGGTCAACATGATTACATGTATTACGTCGTATCTTTTCGCTTCGTTGTCGCCGCAATAGGTACCTACCTTTCGCTCGATTCAAATTAACAATRCCTTTGAGTTAAAAATTTCGTTACACCTAACAAAGTAACAACTCAAAAAGTAATTTGTAAAATTCGCCATTGGCACCAAGGCATGATAACAAAAAAGAGAAAATATTCATTTCAGAGTACCTATGTCCAATTTTCAAAATAGTTCTCGAAAAAATCTCTCAGTCGTTCCTCCAACCAAGATTTCAAATTCGCAGTCTCACAGCACGAAAACATATTATGCATATAAGCTACCAGTAATCAAAGCTTTCCCATTGATCWTAGTAATGTTACCTTCTCAAATTTCATCAATAATCTAAATTTACTTATCAGTCTCTAATTAAACTTCTTTCTGCAGTCCTTAATAGTTAAYGCACTAATCACTATAAAGGTACCTACTATTTCTCCATAATTTATTTGGTACAATTTTTCCTCGTTACAATCTTATCCATTAAAATTTATAATACCCTCATTTAATACCTAAAATATTCTAATCTTATTTCTCTATCAGTCTTAATAATCATTAAGACTTAATTAAAATTAAATATCTATAATAGGTATTTTATCATTATTATCATCCATCTATTTTATTGTTATTAACACTAATCTTGTAGATACGAGTTGTACTTAATCCAATCRTTACAATCTCTTCTAGTTGCGTAATTGTAGAGGTATCAATCTATCATAATATTCCAATAAGAAGCTAAAAAAATTATGCATGCATTTGTAGACATTTGTATAGGTACACTCAGAACTAATAGGTAATACTCAAATTAAATTTATTAGCTTAGTGAATTGACTACTACGGTTCCTCAAGAAATGCATGAAGACAATAATAATTATCAAATCCCTACATATGTTTATTTCAATTTTTTTGTATAAAATTAATGTTACTTTGAAAGACAATATAATCGACAACTTAAAATAATATTATAGCCTATAGGTACTATACTTAATAAATCTACCTCTYCAATAATACAGTTATAATTGTCGAAAAAACTAATAGGTAGGTATTTCATTACTTCAATAGTAGGTATTAATATAATTTATTCTTAATTTGTAATATTACTTTCTGTATCACTAAAAATGTATATTGGCAAAATAAACCTATTATTATTATTGTTATAAGTAAAATAAGTTGTTAAGGGGACACTACAACCGCATAATGTTGTCTCTGTCTCACAATATTAATGTACAACATAGCAAAAACTGTATTGCCTAACCACTCCGGCTGTACTGATAGTTAAGATTGCAAATCGATAAACAATATTTTTTTTTTTTATATATATATCACTTTTACGAAAACAGTTATTATAAATTCATTAGCTTGTATTGTATTTCAAACTTGAATTTTTAAGTTTCGATATCGACAAATAAAAACGATATTTCACAATCATATTTCTCATTTTCATGTGCTAACAATTTTGTTTCTTAGATATATCTTTGATAAGTCCTTTTTTCATAGCAGTTTTTACTATGTTGTACATTTGTAAATTGACAACACGTACAGGACGTRTACCTACCCTTATCGTTCTCATAACATTTAACAGAAACAAACATGGTGAGAAATCCTTTGTTAAGTGTGTATGATACTATAATATGATATCGAACCTTTTACCTTAGTCTTATGCGAGTATTTTTAGATTTTAGAGTACACGAACCCAACGCCCTAGATCCCATACTCYGTAGTCTATACTTATATCTAATGTTAATAAATGTAGTTAGTRCAAATAGTTTACTGTTCGTTTATGATGGACAAAGCGAGCTGCGGTGAAGTTCGATCGTTCGAAAAAAAAAATGCAGTAACGATGTTTACTACAAGAACACATCACCTGGTTAAATAATAAATATAGCATGTTGGGAAAAAATTTTWAAAAAAAACGTATACGTTTGGAGGTAGAATTCCGACATTCAGTGATGCTTCACGTTTCCTAAACTGTGCGACGATAGTGGCTGGTAGTGAGGGGTTGTAACATTATACGCACACGGATTCGAAAATCAATATAATATACTACACATTTTAAGAGCCACTTCAGAGAAACTACGTACTTGCATTGGAACGCGCCGGGAAAACTAGAAACTTCCGACGTGATCACGGTGAGTAAAAAACAACACACGATTAATAATAATAGATAATTATGTTTTGGTAGTATTAATTATTGACTTTTGTAATCATCAATCGCCGTCGCAGCAAGTTAAATTTTTATTTTCTATTAATGAGTAGTGATCGTCGGACGCAGCGAAATGAAAACCGACGTCGGGAAATCATTYGTCGTGTGCTTGTTTGTGCTGATAGCGAGTAGCTCATGTTTCCAGGAGCACATCCAAGCACTAACAGCAAAAGTGAACAGACCGCCAGGGAATGTACCGCGCGAAAGAATCAGTTCTACTTCACCRTCATGGGAGTCCAATGGCAATGAAGTAGGAAGGTCTTGTACGTCACAATGCAGTTATAGCAATGAAAGATATCGTTTATTTGGGTACGACTTGAGAAACTTGGTTACCAGAATTGCAAACAACTGGTGGATAATTGTTGTGTCATCAGTTCTACCATTCATTGTCTTCTGGCAGATCAAATACAATATGAGACATAATGTAAAAGTTCAACAGACACAATTAATAAGTTTCATTTAAATTTGTTCTGAATTAGGAATTATTTTTCAGCTCCACGACTGGGAAAATTCTATCATTCAAAAAGAAAAGGCTGACACCCATTCCAGACGACTAACACTACCAGATTTAACTTTAGCTAAACATGCTCGAAGGGAGTCATTGGCTGAATCTGCCCAAAAACACATGAGTAAATATTTAAAAAAAAATACAATGGTACTGAGGGTTTAACTATTTTTCTTAATATTTTAGATCATCCAAAAAAGATGCCTCAATGCAACATTTCACAATTTAAGAATATGAGAAAAAGTTCATTTGAAAAAAATGAAGAACTGATAGGGGACTCAAAGAGAGTTCACATAATTAGGCGACGCCATTAATGATTTGTTTAGTACTTAAGTAAAAATGTTTACATTTTTATCTAGTATGTGCCAATTTTTTCTGAGTCAGTATACCCAAATATTGTAAACTTAATTTCAATAAATATAAAAGTTGTTGAAGACTAAATTCTTTTAGAATTATCATAAAAAATAACAAATGGTATAACTGGTATAAGATGTTTTAATAAAAAAATCACAAAATTAAATCAGTATGTGCTTAAGTGCAGGGTTTTGTTTTCAGTTGAAGTAGATACAATTACATATTTATTCATTAATACATTAATATAATTTGGACTAATAATTTTGGAATAATATTATTATCAGTTATTAGTAATAACTTATTACCATCAAGAGTAATGTTACACAATATAATATTAGACAGTCTGAATTACTCTCCCTTTGCTTTATCTTCTCTATAATGAAGGAAGACAAAACTGAATATAAACACACCAAACATCATTGAAAAAGCACTTGAGTAATATGGATATGCACTTAAGATAAATCTTTCATATTGAGTATGTTCCAATGGAATTACAGACACCTAAAAGTAATAAAAATGTTTAAATATTAAATAAATATAATTTTATAGTAAATGATTAATTAAATAAATATATTAGTTACCATGGTTGAACTTCTGATTGCAGTAAATCCAACACGGTTGTATTCCACTTTAAATTGATAAACTCCATATGTATCAGGTATTTTAAATGTAAACTCATACTTGCCATTTTTTAAATTATTAAGATTTCCACGCCAGAACGGATCTATGCGTACAAATTCTACTTGAACATCATTAGCATTATGAGGGATCCATTTACCATTTTCCCAACGTTCCAACTCTACCAAAAATACCTATGAAAAACAAAATTAAAATGAATCACTTAAAACGTATGCACATTGTTATTGATATAAGAATATTACAGCCATATCCATAATTGTGTAAGATGGTGGAGGTGACGACTCGCCCAATTTATGATGATTTACAGACTTCACTCTTATCATACCTCTATCTTTTAATGTCCACAAAACAATGTTCGAAGCAACTTCTTGGTTTCCAGAAATATTATATGTTTTTCCATCCTAATACAGTATTATATTTTAATGTAATATTTAAAAAAAAGTCAAGACATTAGAAAACTAAATCAAAATATTTCTGAAACGAAAACTTACAACTTTTTGTACAGAAGTCCTAAAGGCAACATCAGAAAAGAAGTACAAGGAACCAGAAAATACAACTCTTGCATTATTTCTTGCTTGCAAAGCTGCAATTAGTAATAAATCTTTGCCTGTTCCTAATGAATACTGGAAACAATAGGTATTTATTATTGATATAATATGATAGTCAATAACTCATATTTTTATTTAATCAACTTACATCTTTAACAGGAAGGTCTGTTTTGTAAGAATATGCAGTGGACTCAGCATGAAGAATAGGAAGTACTAAAGGATTTTTTGGATCTGTAATGACTGTAGTTCCTTCATATAACAGTGGATTTTCATTACTTTTTCCAACAATTTCTTCAGATTTAATTAGATTTGATGAACTGGTTACTACCAAAGTATGCTATATAAATAAATATAATATAAAATACATTTTTTTTATCATTGATTGATATGTATTATGTATATTATTATCAAGGTTTGGGACTTTTAAGTATCAAAATCATTTAAATATACTGTAATATGCTGATAAAAACAAAAGTATACACTAAAAAAAAGCAGGTAAGTGGATGTCACTATGATGTACAGTAGCTTACACGCGAGTTTTATTGTAATGAAAGGTATTATATTTTAATTCAATGATATAATATAATTGTATATGAAAAACAATTCTGAGTGGAGACAATATGTCAGTCTAGGATATTTTTTACTATATAAATTATATTGTAAATTATTTTTAAAAAAAAGAAAAAAATTGGTACGTATAAAATAAATTCTACATTAACCAAAYCAGATTCATTAAGTAACAGACTCACTCAGTCATTCAAAAAAACAATATAATATAAAGTATATTATACAAGTTATTAACGACATTAACTATTATAATTAGAATATAAAGTAAACTCTAAAAAATTTCAATTATCCACAAATAATATTATTAAATTACAACAATATAACTAAAATTGTTATTCATGGTTTTTAATATGTAATTTTATCCAAATTTGAACTTAAAATAGCTATAAAAAAAACTGTGTTTGTATAGCTTTTAGATTTTGTTTGTTGCAAAATTAACTACTTACGTGAAATCTTGTTTTAAATTTTCAATCTTTAGCTATAAAATTTAAAYGTTTTATAAATTTTTAACAACTAAATAATTTAAAAACTTTCAATTTAATACATTTTGTCAAAATTAGAACTTTAAACAGTTATAAATAAAAATGTGACTGTGTATTTTTAATATTTTCCAACTGTTATTATATTAACTTATAGAGAACTTATTATTACATTTTCAGCTTTACGACTCAACAAAAAACTTTCACATTTATAGGATATAAAAATTTTAAATACTTTTAAAATTTTATCAAGTATAGAAAATTACAATATAAACTTTTGAATTGGAAACTTTTGAAAACTACTGGGAATTTTAAATTTTAACCTCCCCAATGCAGCAACTAGATATTTCCCACTGGAAAAGCTACTGAATTGATTATCAAAGCATTATTTTAACAACTTATTGCGCAAACTCACAAAACAAAAATAAAATAAGAAACGCTGACCAGTTTTTTTCACTAATGGCCAGGCAACACCTGTTTGTTACCACCTTGACAACTATTTGTAAACCTGTAGTGTAATATTTCCAAGCTTATGCACAGTAGCTGGTCGCAGTTTCTTATTTTGAATAGAATATAGTTTCAAATCACTGCATAAGGTTATAAACAGAAGCTTGGGCATATTAAACAATTAAAATTATTTATTAATAGTAAAAAGCAATATTAATTATAAATGGATATGCAAAATAAATATAACCATATAATATTAACATTACAGTAAAATATCCAAAATATGTTAAATAAAATTCATATTTTAAATATGCAAATGTTTTAAGTTCTAAACCAGGTTTTAGTGTTTAATTGATAGATGGAATAACTTGAAGTTCAAATTTATAACTTTGGTAATGGGTAAAAAAAGACTTCTAGTTATTCACCAGATTTTACAGAAAGTATACCTTTTATTTATATCAAAAGATTTCAACTAACTTTTGAGATCAACATTTATAAATAATTTATGTGACTTCAATTAGTTGGCAACCAAATAACCCAGTTTTAAAATAAATATTTCCAATTAAGTTGTATGATAGACAGACATGTTTTAAAATCAACTAAAGCTTGCATCAAACATTTATGGTTACTTGAAATCTAGGTTAATTATGATATTTTAATTTTTATGTACTAATTGTAATTACTTTTCCTGAATCACTGGCATCATAATTCAAATGGTCAATTAAGGATGAATTTTCTTCGGTAACTTCAAAACCACATTCAGCAGCCAACTCTCTCAAAGCAGAACCAGTAGACACACCACCAGTAAACAAAACATTGCCTATAAATAATAAAGATTCTTGTTCTATGAGAAAAATCACACAATAATTAATAGGTTTTACCTCCATCATCAATGAATTGAGTTATTGTTTCAATGTTGAGAGATCCACCAAATTCTTGAACAGTTGGTGCAAAAATTATTAAATTTTCATAAAAGTATTTTCCGTACTTTGAAAGCACTAATGTAGGGTCGTCAGCCGATTTAAAAGTTAGATGATATCCTCTTTCTAATGATCAAATCAAAATGTCAATAATTATTATTTTATTTTTATTTTAGGACATAATTTTAATACATATAGTAAAGTGGTCAGGATCTCTATCACTGAAAATTGTACAAATATATGATTTAATAATTTTGCTTTCAATTCTTAGAAGTATTATAGTTTAATGAGTAATTACTAATTAGAATCTTGTAGGATTAAGAAAAACCTAATAATTAACCTTTAAAAATTAAATGATTTAAATTTAAAGCTCACCTGTTAAAAGCTAATCCAATTTATTTAATTTAAACTATGCAATTTTCTACCAGCAAATAAGAAAATGTTTAAAATTAAAGCTAATAATAGATACTTAATGTTTATAACATTCCTAGTCGCAACAGCATAATAGGTTTTTTATTTACTTAATCTACTTATGGATTGATAAAAAGCATCCATATTGAGTTTTAAATGAGTAAATTATATGTTTAGCATATATACCTATTCTATCAACCATCAAGTAATTTAAAAAAAAATTATGATAAAAAATAAATTAATCAAATAGTTTATTGGAACAAATTATAAGCTTACTCAATACTTTTTAAGCATCCTAATAAAACTAAGCAAATGCTGCACTAAACTCAAACATATAAATATAGGTACTTAATCTTATTTAATAATTTAATTAGAACACAAATACTATGTGTATACTTAAGTGAAGTTTACGATGAAACTAATGAAAGACACTGGAACATTTTTCAAAGTAAAGAGTTTTATAACAAAAATAAATGCCACATTATCAAATGAATTAAAAAGCTTACTAGCCACTGAATTATACAAAATTAAATTTTACCTTTGAGGGTGTTAAATAAAATGGAATGTGTCTCTTTGATGACCAAATTGTTGAGTAATACCAGCGTTTCTTTGGATGCACTAGCGAACGCAGCAAGGCTTAACGTTAATATTGAACACACGTAATATTTAATTAACATTATTGTAAAATAAAATTATTCAACAAATAGAATAAGAGTGGAGAATAACTCTTACACAAATAGTAATCRATAACAAAAAAAAGTTATTAACTAATAAAACAAAACATCGTTTGCGATGGATTCGTATATATTTTGTATAATAAATTAAAATATTAGGTATTACAATACTCTGTTAGTTGACTTTAAATTTAAAGTGTCAAATTGTAAGYAGTTGTGAGTTGTGAATTGTGACGATTGAAAACAAATCCACCGATAACGCGTATCACAGAACGCCACGATGCCGGTATAGAACAGGGGAGCCAACACATTCGTATTATGAGGTGTGCCAACATAAAAAATTGTAAAAACTGTTGTAACTCCAAATAGTCCAAAATAATTTAATAATCTAAATTTTCATTTTATTTATATCAGTTATTTATTCATTTAATTTTTTTGGATACTGCAGGTGTACTCRTGTATTGGACGTCTAGACATCACTCAACTAAAATAATTTTCACTATAGTGGAAGATCGACACTTCAAAGATATTATTTTTTTCAGTGCGGTTTTACTTTTTGGGAGTAATGGTTGCCCGGTTAGAGAGTAAATGCTTGATTGGTGTAGCCTAATACAAAATGTATTTATAATGTACATATTTTTTCAGTTTTAAAATAAATAAAATATTCAAATTGGTATAGGTAAAACTTAAAGTTTAGGGAGCAGACTAGATGGCCAGTTAAAGTAAYATAATGAATAATATACTGTAGTATCCTTTGCCTGTCGGTTCTGTCACCCAAACTCCAAAAGTCAACCTATGAGGAGGGATAAAAACTATACCTACCTAATAATTGTATAATTTTAGATAAAATATCATCAAGAAAATTAGATAATAATACACCATTAAAATGTCATTGCACCAAGTAATTCTGATTGCACTATCTTTCTTAACTAATTAATAAACATAAGTTTTAAGAAAAAAAATTAAAATAATAGCAAAATGTGTGATTAACATAGCATTGCGTTTACACATAATCAGAAACTTCCAAATGCTATAACTTAAAACTTAACTTTGGCCGAAAAATTCTGTTTGGAAAATGTTAAATAGTAAAAAAAATATGAAAAATTTTCATGGGGTGATAAAGTGCATAATAGTCAAAAATTCAAACAAGTTTGTATATACGTTTTGCTAACTACTATTACTATAATTATTACAAAAAGTAARACCATTTCCTGTTATCAATTTTACAAAAATTATAAAAAATATAAGTTATATTATCATCAAAATAAGATTAGAAATATTAAAATAACTAATAAACAGGATATTTTTTTTTGTAATAGTAAAAAATCTTATGTAACAAAAATAACAAATAACAGGTATATAATAAAAAATATTAAGTAATAATTAATTTTATGAATTTTAGTTTTGCTTGTTTTATTAATCTTTTACCTATGATATTTTTGAATAAATAAATATACAAAAAAAAATAAAACAATATTATAATATAATATAATATAATAGCTAAAAAGATAATATTTTATTTTAATTTGTTAAAATCATTATTATAACAAAGATCACAATTAAATTGACATATTAAAGAAAACTAACATTTTTACAGTGGAAGGAACATAATATTTGAAAGTTGTAAGAGTTTTTGGCGAATTTAATCAATGTTAAATGTCTTTATTTATCTCTACATTTTTCAATCGTTTAACTAACCACTTATTATGACTATGCATTCCATCACAAAATATATTGTGTACAGGTCTTACTGGCAATGGATCCTGTGGTAAAATTCAATATTTATTACAATATATTACATAGATAATAATACAAATATGAAAAAATCATAATTACATCTTTTCCAAAAGGTGTTGGGGTTTTTAGTGAAATAATACGTTCATTTTGATCTATAAAAGCTCCATCTTCAAGTAATCTTAAACATATCCTGGATATATTAAATGAATCATCGAGGCCACAATGAGGGTTGCCTTCAAATTTCATATCCAAAAAGGTTAACATTGCGTTTAAATTGCAAAGAACTGAATGCTGTAAATAATAATGTTTATTTTAATAATATAGAAGAACAAATATTTAAACAAGGGATATACACAAAATAAGCTGTTTGTTTCTGTATGACAGAAGAATCTTCTTTGCCAAATTACAATAAAAGTTGAAAGAAGAAGCTTCTATGAAGAGAATAGGTGATTTTGGTAGTTAGTAGTTTATAAACTAATGCCAGGGGTGATTGTCGAAGAAGAACACTTAATGTTCTTCATCAGGTATTGTGCTGCATCTAGATTACAAGGCCCAACAACTGAGTGCAGCCAAAAAAATTGGAACATTCCAGAATTAATGGAATAAATTTACTCCAATCAGGAGTTACAAAATGCGTATTGCGTATTGCTAGGTTTCTCTTTACAGCCCAAAAAACAAACAATAACCAATGCAATGCAATGGTGATACAGCACATCACCAACAGCAGAAAATTCAAAGTTATGAAGTCTACCAAAAAATCAGCATCTGCTTTTTGAGAAAAAGTTCTAATTGATTGTTTTACTTAAAGGGGGAAACATTTAACAGATACATTTTAATATGAAAGGATTTTGTGTGAAATATTGAGGCAATATGAAATCAAGTGTTTGACCTAGTGTGTGTCTCCTACACAATAGAACTTGGTCCCATAACAACATATATTACTTACTCCATTTACATTAAATCCTGATTAAGTCTCTTTGGACAAGTTGTCGGAACTATGGAGGAATTAAAGGAATACATCAACAAAATGGATAGAAAGTTATTGACGCAGTAAACAGCTGAGTAAAAAGAAGGCAAAAAGTTTCATAAAAAAAAATCAAAGCTTATTTTCAGGTAGCTAAAATACATTGAGATACTGAGGTAGCTAATGATTACATAAAAAAGTAGATAAACCTCAGTTATATTAACTATTTTTTTAATAAAAAATCAATTTTGTAAAACTAAATGGAACTTATTTTATGTATACTACTCATATATATATAATATTATTATTTATATTTTTAATTGATTAGTATATAATATATGCATAATATAATAAATTACCTTGACTTGTTTCGTAAAATAAAATGATCTAAATACTTTTCTTATATTAATCCATCTAGTAGCAAATTTTGGATATGGAATCCCTGACATCTAAAAATTGTCTTAATATTAGCCAAACAAAATAGTTTATAGATAGTAAAATATTTTACAATTCTTTACATATAATTTAATCAAAAACAATATTAAAACTTACTAAACATTGACCATAAAGAAACCGAGCCATATCAAATGGGCCATCAGTGACAATAGAAAATTTGTGTTTAATTCCAAGTTCATGTTCTTCTAACCATTTAGTAAATCTTTTCAAACATACTTCAAATGAATCAGCTTTATCAATTTGATCCTGGTAATTAAAATTATAAATTAAAAATCAAAGTATTCAAATCTACAAAGACAATTTATGAATTATAAATATGGTTTAAGGAAGGGACACTGAACAATGGACMTTGTCTAAGAACTATTAAAAAAATATATATAGTAGTTACGAATAATTTAAAAATAAAGTCAAAAAATATTTTTATTATATAATTTAAATTGTTATATTTAAGAGCAGTCTATATTAATAATAAGTAACCTTATTCATTGTGGTTAGTATCAAAGTTGTTAAATGATTGTGCAAATTTAATTTTTGTTTTAACTTACTTTATACTATTATGTTATTAGAGTTTAAGATATTATGATACATGTATATGCAATAGTGTAATATAAAAATATAAAAAGCCCCAATAGTAAATAACAATATAGTATAAATAAAACAATAGGTAGTTAACTTAAGAGGACGTTACACCCGCATACATTGTCTACGTCTTACAAGTGCGTAACATAGCAAATTTTATGCTCAGCAGATCACCWTTAGCTCCGTCAGTTTAAAATTTAGAGAAAATTGACCTCTTACAAAAATTAAAGTAACATTATAATCGAGGGCATGACGTAGGCTTTCTTTTATATTTTAATTTTAAAGGGAGTTATGTGTATTTTAAGATATACAAACAATTTACAATTTTAAAATACACATAACTCACTTTAAAATTAAAATAAAATAAAAAGCCTACGTCATGCCCTCGATAATAATGTTATCTTTAATTTTTGTAAGAGGTCAATTTACTCTAAATTTTAAACTAACGGAGCTAAACGTGATCTGCTGAGCATAAAATTTGCTATGTTACGCACTTGTAAGACGGAGACAACATATGCAAGTGTAGCGTCCTCTTAAAAAGGATTAGGAAGGAAGCATAACTTAAACATTAAATACAGTGATAAAAATTACTTAAAAAAAAAAGAATTTTAAACTTTTAATGAAGATAGTTACCATGATTTTGAATAAAACACTTTTTGGTTCGGCTTCAAATGGGAAAAAAAGTGAAAATGTTTAAAGCACTTTTCACCTTAAAATTTATAACGGATATTTAAAAAAAAAATTGAATATGGATGCTATTTTATTTACTACCTAGACTAATTTTCTTCTGGAGCCAATATTTTTCTAAGAATTAGGTAAACACAATTTTAAAAATAACCTTACTTGAGTTATACCAGTTAATTTAATGCAAAATTCAGATAATTTTGGATTGATTGATGGTTTTACAAATGCCTGAAAATGATCAACTATTTTCCGTTTTTTAGCATCAACCAATACAGCTGGAAATTCTATGATTTCAAACCTAAAATAACAATACAAAAATAGGTATGTGACATACAATTTATACAAAATCATAATCATCAATTTTATTTTATTATTTAAGCAGAAATTATAATATAAATTTAATATTTTAATTAAATTTACTAACATTTAATAATTTTGCTATGTAATTTAAAAGTACTATGAATATGTCTATAGCCTATTTAATAAAAAACTGTTTATTCATTCATAATGAACTTAAATTAATTTAAAAAGCAATAATAATTTTATAAGACAAGTTTATAACTTCTTCAAGGAATAATAAAATGAAAAAAAGAATGACAAATAGATATAAATTATGATTATAATCAGTTTAATATATACTTATTTAATTTTAACAACAAAGAAAAAGTTATTGGTAAGGAATAACATAATATTTTTATATGCTAAAAGTAATTTACTTTAATTTAATTTAATATTACTACCTATCTGGGTATATAATTAAGTTACAATTTTTGAAAGTCAAATATATTTTTGCAAAAAAGAAATTATTTAGGTATCATGTATAAACATACTTGTAATCAGCGGGATTATTTTCAGTACATGTTGCTTCAATATCAATGACAACAAAATATGGAAAGTACGTTGCCTCAGATTCACAGATCTTAGCTTTGATAAGTGCTTGCATCCTATAGTGATTTTTTAAACGTTTTTTCAAAACATCTATTTCACCATCAGTATTGAGCTTCTTATTGTTCATTATATTTATCAATTGGCGTCTTTTCATGCGGTTTATTTTGCCATTAACYGATGCCAATCGTTGGAACATGGGTAAATGTTCAAGAGGTATCCTACGATTATCACAGTCAAACTCTTCGCTGTCAGAATCAATATGGCTGTCACTATTTGACATTTTTACTGACTAACCTAAATTAGCATTACATTAAAAAAAAATAATGGTATATTAAAATATGTACATTCAGATTCAWGGTAACAAAATGTAAATAAATAAATTCAAATTTGATATACCTACTTTACTTTTATATAGTATGAGACAAAATTTAATTGTCTAATAGATATACATTAAAATAAAATTATAATTTTTAGATTTTTAAACCAAACTAAAATGAAAACTGAATACTTAAACAGAACTCTACATTTAACAAAATGGCACTATTGCGATGGTAAATAGAATAAAACTTATCTAATGTCTATAGGGCCAATGATTTTAATACCTTATCTTTAATACCAATGAACTTACTGACTTCAGCAGAAGTGACAGAATCACAGACCAAAGTAAACAGGACTCTGGACTGGTAACGAGAGGGTTCTCCTCATCTCCCGGAGTGATAAGGTTAGTGAGATAAGAAATATAAATTTAAAAAAATAAAAAAATAAGTACCAACTTTACTGTAGCAAACTAGCAACACAAAACAGTCTCGATACCATGATAGACCACGGACTATGATTATAATGGACTGGTCTCAAAGCAATATTA